TCATGATAAAGTTAATGATATCGACTGACATCAATTTATTCGAAGCGTGCGCCCTGAATAATTTTCCCCACTAATTTTATTTGCCAACTAATCTGATTATGTTATCGATGGCGACGTGTAAAAAAGTTATCGAGTAAAATTTAAAAGTTTGACGGTTATTTGAATAAAATTATTTTAGTATTGTAAGTACATCAAGTGAGATACTTACATAGATCCATTACCTAGTATTAGTTTATCATTAGTCTCATCTCATTTATGCTGTATCTAGAGCTATTGACCAGAATCAATTTAGTATAGAGGAAACGGAAAATAATGTTACCTAATAGGAAAATTGGTGTAGGTAACTGTTTATGAGATGTATATCAACCTATACCTTCTATAAATAATATGAACTCAAAATCAAGAAGTAATTTAATTTTGACTATAACACCGTGCCAAACACCACAGCTTCCGTAGTCCGTACCGATGCATGCCTACAAAACTTCGCTACACACACGCAAGATTGTCAACCTACATCAGCTGAATCCATCAGATACGGCTCTCAAAGTTACAGGTACCGCAGTACAAGTCCAATCCGGTGTTGTGCAGTAAATAGGTCGGCTAAAAGTTGTCCCATCTCTCGCGCGTGCCGAACTGAACTTACAGACGTCCAACGCAGCTGCCGTCGCGATGCTTCCAGATATCTACGAGTCTACAATACAAGAAACTAGTCTACATTCTACACAACAGTTTTTATTATATCTGAACAAAGGAATCCGTGTATACGTAGGTACATACCTCTATATATAAACTTTGTAACTTTTGAAATACTCGCGATTATGATGCACTCTTAGGTGCATCGGTTTTAGCAAACTTCTGCATCCCACAAACTAGAGGTGGAAGCGTTAATAAGCCTTCAACGTGGCTTGATATTGTGTTCAGTTTGTTTAAACTTCGAGTTAGCAACGAAATTTTGATCGTAGTAAGGATTAAACTTGCAGTTTTAATTATTAATTAAACCAAAAGGAGCATTATTTACTGCCATATGTGTAAGGTTTGAATACCCCGAAGCTATATTTATATACATACTTTAGTAGACTTAATGAGACCAAACTATCCTAAATAAGTATCTATAGGTACGTATATTCGTGTAAAGTGTTAACGCTAGTTTCCGTAATTGAAATGTTAAATTGTCATTTCCCCAAAAGGATTAAGAATCCCAAGTATTTCCATATACCCAACAACTATCTGAAACACGAACAGGTAAGTATCCAAGTTTCCCGCCCGTTATTAAACGCGCAGTCATATCGGAATTGCTATAATCGAATACGCTCCGATTCATAATCGTATTAAACCGGGGGTCTGTATCGATTATATCGAGTAGATACACATGCTGAGAGCGGAACCGATAGCCAAATAAACTAGCAAACCGCATCGATTACCTGTCAATGGCAGCCTCCATTGGAGTGACCGCGTCGCCGGACCAACCGAGACCGTCCTAGCTGGAGGTACAACCGACATTTTAATGACGCAATACTTTAACTTAAGATATTAATTAAAATTGTGCTGTACCTATCCTCAAGCTACATACACCGATTTTAGTTCAAAAGTCTCTTCAAGTTCCTGGATCTCTTTTAACAATTACAACGGGAAGGTTCTGAGAAACTGACATTAAAAACAAAATTCAAAATTCATATAACACCGTAAAAAGACAGAAGAATTTGCACAGCAATTTCATTATATTATGGTGTTAACAACACAATAGAGAGAACTTTGTCTTGACGAAACTTTTCTACACTTTTAATAAGAAGCCCATTCATCGCATACTTTTCATTACTGGAGAACTGGTGAAGAAGGGGATGGCTTTATCGCTGTAACTCGTGACACCAGAAAATTAAAAGTGCAGAGTCATGGTTGGGCTATCTTAGAAAATAGGGTGACTGGCTCTTACAGAACTTAATTAATCGACGCTTAAGCCGCTCGTTGGACATGTCCTACAATCGATATCTAGAGGGAGACACTGGCCTCGTGTACTTCAGGACATAAATAAAATGTAACTACAACGTTTGAAATTACAGAACGAACAAAATTTAAGTTTAAGTTGGACATTCTGAAGTAACTACCTACTTGTGAATGAGTAAAATATTTTAACTCCTAATAGAAAGTTTCTGAAAGGTTTTATTTTAAAAAAATTGCTAGCACATGTTATTTATGTCCCTGCTCTCAAAAATATCAATAAATAGTATTTACGACTGGCTACGACCACTAAACTGTAGACAGGCCCTTTAGATGCTCAAGTATTGGTGGTGCGCCCTCTCATGACTGTTTCTGACACATAATCGATAGTGCACGGGATGTGTGGCTTTAGCACTGCTATAATGGAATTGATAAATCAATACTACGCACAAATATAAAGCGAAATCTTTACAGACGAAATTAATTAATTTTACCTAAGTATAAAACTTTAGTACTAATTTTAAATAATAGTTAACAAAGGGTACCTAAGCTCGAGTCTGTAGAGTGAAGTTGAAGGGGATAAGTAGGCCGACTAGATAGTTATTTAAGCATCTACTTAAGTTCTCAATAATATTTTGAAATAGCTTTACAACTACTTTTATTTCAATAGACCACTTGTGGGTACATAGTTATTAACTTATTTGAGTTTAAAAAATAAATGTTTGGATTGAAGTTACTGTATAAAGTACTAACTTACGCCACTCCATTTTAGGTTGTTTGAAAATAGTCACCATTACCTAATGACCATTACTCTCAATTATTCAGATACTGAACTGACATTTCAGATACAGACTGCCTCGTTGGCCGAGTGGTCGCAAGTGTTCGATTCCCGGGTCGAGCAAAGTATTACTGGGTTTTTAAAAAAAATCTCAGTAATAGCACGGAGTCTGGAATTGTGCCCGGTATATGACAATAGGCTCACCCCCAATTACATGGGATTCATAATATAAATAGTGAAAAGTGGGTGTTACATTGTACAGTGGCGTAATGTGCACCTCTGCCTACCCGTATCTACATAAAAGACGTGATGTTATATATATGTTATATGTGAATAAATGTATTAGTTTTTAGATAACAGTTGGAGTTTTTTTTCAATTCTTTGGCAAACGAGACAGTTGGAGTTACTATAGCTTATTATTCAGTCTAGTATTACCATTCCTACCTGTCAACATTGCAATAGATAGGTACAGCAACTTTCGATAAACTAAGTGCTTACTAAGTAGGTACTTCCCAGTTAAATTATCATATTCACAGTTATACCTCAGTAAGTGTGTCTTATAGAGTCTGACTGAGAATAGAATGCTAGACTGCAACTCCAACTACATACGAGTTCATTACCTTTTACGTGAGAAGACTATTTGTGTTTTACTTTGGCGCAAAGGTTTCGGGCTGGCTTTGACTCTGATTATAAGTGAAACTTGGTCGCCTGGCCATACAAATACCGGCAGGGACAGGGCATATTATAATTAAATTTGTTTTTTTAAAAAATATGGGCATTGCTGTTTTGTTTGCTTATGTAGCTAATACACCAAACCTTAGGTAATTAAGTTGGTATTTGAGTAGGTACATACGTAAGGTATATGTACACTTCCTAGGGATGTGCTGTAACAGGTGTTGCACCGTGGGCGCTCCGGAGCAGATCTCTTCAGAGGACGCGGTGCCCCTTACAGGTGCTGAGGTTGGCCACCGGGGTGGTTTTAGTGAGGTAGGAATCCCATATTCTTTCTCCACAAAAAGATAGACGCCTTTTGAAGGTTTCCCCTTCATCAAAAAAAGATGATGTATGTGTACACTTACCTACCTACTTAAGCAACTTTAACCAAAATATAGAAATTAGCACAACAAACAAACTTGGTCAGTGTAACTAACGTCTTCGTTGGGATTCCACTGCGTCGACAAACTCCTAAAAGTTTGGTTGAAACTTAATTTAGCTGGACTAGTCCACGACCACTGATGGAAAGTTTTAGCAAAGCTCTGTACTAATGGAAGCCGAACTAAATAACTGCAAGCCATCTAACAACTGAGCGAATCCTGACGCTTGGTGTAAGTACATAAGTAGGTACCTACTACTTATATGTTAGAGAGCGCAGAAAAATGTGTTCTTCCACTTAAGTTTACCTTTACATCGCTACATAAAAGTTCGCATTTTTCTTTAAATTCGCAAAACTTTAGATAAGAACTTACGAAACATACATTTTGTTTTTGCCTGTAGATGCGCCCGCCTTCAGGTTGGTAATAAACAGTCGACGCAATAATATATAAAAACATTAATATGTCTCGTAAACTTTACAAGTTATAACCCATTTTCTCTCTCGTGTTCCTGTCTCATTGAAGCAACGTGAACAAAACTTTCAAGTCAGACCGTCGTTAAAATTTGGTGAAATTCGTATAATGTTGGTACGTGCTTCATAGGAATTCAAATTACCTGAGTGCCAATTGTCGTAATTAGGTAGGTATACCTAACTAGTAATTCCTAATTATTATTTTATATTTCAGCTAAATCATCAAATTTAATCTATAGTTTCCGGCCTTAATCTGTGCATTTTCTCCTGCCTTGTCGAGGGGTGCCACGATCACAACGAAGGGCATTATTGCCTAACAAAAGGTCTCGAAGTTTCTTTCTCGAGTCAAACAACCAATTGGTTTTCATATTTTTCGAAAAGCAATGTGTTTGAAACATCATTTAACTAGTAAAAAGTGGATAGGTATTAAATTGTTTAAATGCACACCTCTATACCCCTTCGGAGATCAAAAGACATGACGTTATGTTCTATTCGTGTTACACAAGTACACAACCGTGCAATTTAAATGTTGTTTTAATTATATTCTATCTATTACGCCGAAAAGATATACATTAAGGTTGTATTAGAGTTTTTGAGTTGATATTCATAAAAATATTTCATCTATTATATTGTTCTTTAGGCGATTGGCGAACATGACATTAGTAAGAAACGACCACGACGCCACAGACTAACCATAATGTGACGCACAGCACAACACTACGAGTACGCGACGCGCCGTTCACATCTGTCACGTTTCTCACACAAAATATTTATCAATTTATTTTCACCAAATACAGCTGTAAATTGTTAGTTACACTTTCTCTAGACATCATTCCGTATAACACTAGTAAATATAATAATTAGCCAGCTATTTCCTTTCCAGATGTATCTGTACAGTGTTTAGAAATGGACCAACAATTCTCATTGTCCTGGAATAATTTTCACGGGAATCTCACTAAAGGATTCGCCGGTTTATTAGGAAATGGCGAATTCGTCGATGTTACTATAGCTGTCGAAGGTCATTTGTTGCAAGCACACAAAGTAATACTGTCAATATGTTCACCTTATTTCAAGAAAATGTTTCAATTAAATCCATGTCAACATCCAATTGGTAATTATTAGCAGATTGATTGGAATCTCATTATGCTTGTAAATTGGCCCTTTTGTATTTTATCTAGCTATACATGTAACATGTACCTTTCTTATATTTCAGTTGTACTGAGGGATGTGACTCACAAAGCAATGAAAGACTTGCTACAGTTTATGTATCATGGGGAAGTTAGTGTGAAACGTGAAGATCTCACTAGTTTTATAGGAACAGCTGAAGTATTACAAATAAAAGGATTGACAAATAAAGAGGTCAGTTTCTATAAGAGTCTTACACAGTATTCAGTTTAATAATGTTTTTAAAGCTTGTAAATGTTAGATCTCTGTTATTGTAAATGTATTGTGACTGTTTCAGACTGAAGAAGATGAAGACAGTGAAAGAGAGCAAGATTTACCTAAACACAGAACAGAAACTCAAAACAACACTCCTGATGCAGAGTCATGTGTGTCAGACACATATGATACAGCTCTAAATGATGATACAACACAAAACAATGAATTAGAGCTGTTAAAACAAAGGCAACTTATAGAAAAACTGCACAGAATCAGTAACCTTAAGAGGAAATCCAATGAATTCCTTCAAAAGAATTACTTTTCAGACATACTCAACCCTGAAAAGAGATCAAAAACAAAAGAGAAAATTATCTACACTCAAAATAATCAGATGTACCAATCAAATAATTACGAGAACATTAAAAATTTGTATGAAGATAACCCAGTGGACATTTCTGCGTCATACAACACACATATATCAAAAACCAATTCACAAGATTTTAATGAGAAAAGTAAAGATCAGTCTCTATCAGATAATGGCTTGGAAATGAAGACAGAATGTGATGATAGTGATATCATAGTAACAGACCCAGCAGTATGTTCTACGCCTAAGAATTATGAATCATCTAGAGAAGGAAAGAAAGATCTGTCTGTACCCATAGACTATCCATCCCCACAAGACAGTAAGTATATTTTATCACCATAATGTTATAAAACAATCTCTAAAATACAGCACTCTGACATAATCTCTACCACCACAATAAAATAGTTTAAAAACATTTTCTATGCTTATTAATGCTTCTTCATAGTACTTATCAACAAAATCAGAGATTGTGTTGAAAATGCAATCATTTTTATTATTTTCCACTAAGAAATTTTCCTGTTTTCTTTTGCATAAAGCTTAGAATTATGAAAACACGATGGCATTTTCAACAATTTACAATCTTTTATAAACAATATATTATGTGCCTTTATTATGCAAACAGTGCAATGAAAATGCCCATCGTGATTTCAGATACCAGCTTGAGTTCGTTATTCATCGACCTTAAAAACTTAGTGAATGGTAAGGTAACTAACAATACACTGAGAACTAACTCAAGTGAAGAATACCCTAGACCAACATTGGAGCACCGACTGGTAACTATCCCGCAAAAGGAAGACGGGAAGAAGAAATACCCACAGCGTTCATGTCGTCTTTGTTGGAAAATAGGACGCAGACGGGACACTCGATTTATGTGTAGCGCATGTGAACTGCCATTTTGCAAAACACCTTGCTTTGGAATTCATTTTAATGATGTACTAAGAGTATCTCAATTGCAAGGAGATTATTACGCAAATTAACATTTTATTTATACAAGCTTAACTCTCTAAAGGGAGCTATTTATAAGTGAAAATAATTGAAGTAGTAGATAAAAATCCACTAAAGGCTTGTAGTGATTACTACATATTTATATAATTTTATTGCACACAAAACTGAATCATAGATTCGAATGAGATTTGGGACCAAATCTATAAACTGGATTGTGACAAAAACATCTTAAAAAGTTGCATAAGAATAGCCTGGTCAAAATAAACATAGAAAGTTACAAAATTTGTATACAGCTATAGAATGTTGGTATAAAGTTCGCATTTAAAAAAGATATTTTTTTTAAACTGCCTACTATAAAGATTTCAAAACCAAAATCTGGTTGAGCAAGTTTTAATGCGATTGTGACTATCATTGTTTTGTTACCTATGTATAAAGACCTACATTTTCTTCATTAATACAATGTAAAACTATAACATTGTACTGAAATAAAGACATGACATACCTATCTGGGGTACCATACTTTTTATTCATTACATTACGGTGTCATGGACATTAGTATCAATCTTTAGCTGTATTCGAATTATTGTAACTTGCCCCTCTTTTTGGCTTACTTGACCAGGCTAATATAGTATAGGGTTATTTGTAAGTACCAGTTACATTTTGGAGTAATAAAGATCATAAAGCACAATAATTAATTAACTGTGATAATGGGACAATGCTCTCAAGTGCCAATTTATCATTAAAACAAAGCTATTTTTATAAAACTTGCATTCAATTAGGGAGTACACTTATTTTTCACACTTTTTAATAAGTGCCATTATATTTCGCCATAAAATTTTATAAAGACTTTATTGCTCATTTTCTAGTCTATTTATTGTACTAATTTAAGATATGCAACAATAAATTCAGATACAATTTTTGTTACAATTAATGTAATTATTAGTTTTGAACAAGTATTTTGACATAAAAAATTTGATATCAAAATGATCTCTATCACACGTATTTTACATCATTTTTACATTTATTGTATAAGAAACATATTGAGATTTACATTCCTGATTTTTACATTTGTAATTTTATAATACGTAAGGCCTCTGTGTGGAACAATTACTTAATTTTTTATTCTGATGAACAAGTGCTATTTTTAATGTGTGATGTTACTTAAAATTATGTTTTGAATGATTTATAATAAGCGAATGTATTTTTATATCCATATTTGATTAAATGCTATATAAACAGATGGGCATTTTTTATTATAAATGTAAAATATATTTTATTTTCCCTAATTTCTTCACCTGGATGAAAATGTCATTAAATTAACTTATTTTTTACAGGTGCTCTATCACTAGTTGTGAATGGATCTAATGATAACCAGCAGCTACCGGTTCGTTACAAATACATCTACAGTAGAAAAGGCCACAAACAATTAGTGCATATGAACTTTGTTTATACCAAACATTCAACTACTCATGGCAAGACCTCGTGGCGATGTGTACAATACTTCTCGTTAAATCGATGCCCCGCCACTGTAGAAACTATAGAGTCGATGATCTACGCCATCAACCATCAGCACAACCATGAAGATTGTTACGAGAAATTATCAAGAAATAACATCTACGAAATGTGCGTATCGCCTAAATAGAAACTAAGTTTAATGTACATAGTATTATTAATATAAGTTGACCTCCAATGTAAGCGTCATGAAGTTTTTCTAGCCAAGCTGGTAACATGCAGCTAGGCTACGAATGTACTTCGACCTTATAAAGAGCCTCAGTGAGGTCTAAAAAGTTCCTATGTTTACTTTAACAGCTATTTGGTCTACAACTCTCATGTAACATTGTATGTATAAATTTCGGAATGGTTTTTATACGTAATTATACCTTTAGACTTATCTAGTCAGAAGATAGATTATTTTCATCTTGTAAAAACATATTTCTGTCCCTGTAAGGAATAATTAATAATATAAAAACGTTTATTTACTTCTTACTCGTTTTATTTAACATTAGAAATATTTTAATATAGTACATTTTTCTAATAAATATTTATTCAACAGTAAAGTTGACAGTAATATACTTAATAGTTTATCTATTGTCCTTGTATTAATATAGTTAAGGAGCATTGCCTGTACTATTTGCATAACGCGTAGCACCATCTGTACTTAGTTAAACATCCACTTTTTACACAAGTACTTTGTTTTCATTGTTTATTTTGTTCGTTTCGTTCCAACTGGCTGTTCTGCAAGCAAAGCTGCCATTCTTTTTCTGGGTCTATGTTTTTTACTGAATCCTATTCCTGAAATAATGAAAAATATAAGTATAAAATAACACGAAAAATTATTAGGAATTCGAAAAAAAATTATTTATAAATTGTAACTTACGAACGTCAACATCTGGTCGTTCTTTGAGACCGAAAGATCTGGCAACGGCGTCGACATCCATTGTTATTAAATTAAATATATGTTTTAGTTTCTTTACTTCAAACGCCCTCATGTAGCCTTGAAAAGCTTCCACAGCTAACTTGTGAAACTGTGGATCTGACATAGCCGCATCAAGCTGGAATTTGCAAACAACCTTATTAGGTAAATACTTAAATTTTTTGTACAATAATATGACTTTAGTGATCAGTGAATTTTTAAGTACCGTACCTTAGGCTGTAAATTGGCAAACTTATCCCACGACTCATATTTATCTAAATATATTTTAGATTCTTTCAAATACGAAACAAATTCTATTTCGTCTGGTCGCAACAAAATTACAGCATTTCCTTCTGCTCCCATGCCTCTAGCAGTTCTGCCTACCCTATGAATGTACTCCTGTAATCATTGAAATACAGTTTTAGATGAGCATAATAAAATCAGAACATAAACATTTATATCACACTCATACAATCATTATTTTACTTGTAACAATAAAAATTTATATGGGTCAGTATCATTCATAATAGATGGCGCTCTGTAGTATTCTGCCTACCAACATGGGACAAAGACAAGTTTCTGAATGTATGTAATGTAGTTTTTCCACTATTTTCCCCATACTAATATCTATCCTATTATACAATAAGAATTTGATAATATCTACGTTAAAATGCAACTTACATTTGCATCAGATGGTGGATCGAATTGTACTATCCAATCAACGGCCGGTATATCCAACCCTCTAGCTGCTAAATCTGTGCAAAATAATGCAACTTTTTCAGCATTGTAGAAATTCGTTATTACATCTGTCCTATTGGCTTGACTCATTTTACCCTGCAAGATAAATCAGAAATTTATAATCTTACTAATATTATAAATATGAACGTTTGTGTGTATGTGTGTCACTCGATCACGTCAAAACGGTTGAAGGGATCGGGATGAAATTTGCGACCAGACTACGCGTTCGGCATTCTGATTGGCCGGCGCCAATGAACCAACCAATCAGAGCGCCGAACGCGTACTCATTACGATTACTCTAAACGTGAAACAAACTCATAGGCCTCAGGACCGATTGTGGTCTGGATTAACACATAGAAAGAAAGAAAGAAAAAGCATTTATTTGGTAAATGGATAGAATCTATTACAGCATATAAGTACACACAGAGATGCATGTATATTTTCCAATACCACGGATTAGTGCCTGTGATTCATGATTAAGCAGTTGCATTTATATTTTCAAATATGATTCCAATTCATATTTTCGTATACTAACATGAATACATGAGACAGAAGCTTCACAGTACTTGCTGAAAAATTCATGGTGAAACTCAACCGACTTGCAGCTTGAAAAGAACACCATTACTTTAAAGTTACGAGTTTTCTTCAGTAATTTATGTAACCACCATAATCTATACTGTGTTTCACATACAGCATACCTGAAATCATACAAATCAAAGTAATGTAATGTAATACCATAAAATACGCCTTTTAACACGAAAGGGATGTAAGTATTCTAACATTAGATACACTTACCCTTGCTTCAGCCCTTCAACAGTAGCCATAAGATTATCCTCATCGGTATTTATATTGTGAACCTTTTCCTTCATCGCAGATTTAATTAAAGCATCGGTTCTTTCTGATTGGGTTGCACTAAATAACATGGTCTGCCTGTGTTCTGAAAATAGAGGTAATATTTATCTTTATTGTAGCATAAACCAAGACTACATTAAGTAGGAATACAACACAAAACGAACAAACAATATGTTTGCAAGCAACACATTCACCATTTCACAATCACATAATATTATATAAAACATACTTGGCAATCGGTTAATAATTTGCTTCAAATCCTCTTCAAAACCATACTGAAATATTTTATCTGCTTCATCCAGTACTAGGCAACATACATTTCTATAATCAAACTCTTTTGTTCTCATATGATCAAACAACCGGCCAGGTGTCGCCACCACAATGTGTACTCCTAAAAGAAATAATTATAAAATTATTGTCATCATCACACCTATTTTATTATGGTTAGACAGTAACTATGTTGTATGTCATTGGTAATTTATGCATAATTTGAATAACCAGAAAGCTTTTTTTTTAAGGGGGGAAAATCATCGAATGACTGCTCCCGCCTGGGTGAGGCGGAAGGGAGTGTCAGACTCTTACTGACTAAAAACCACCCCGTTCCTTCTCCTGCACGTCGAGCCGGAGCCCCGGTTACCCGTTAGGTTCTCCGCGACTCCGAATCGGCATCGACCCTATTGGGCCCCATCTGTGGTGGTCTGATGGCTCTTTGAGGCGCGCGCGGAACGCGTCGCGCCGTACGCTCGAGTCTGTTTCTGGTCGGACGGGGAGCCACCCATGTTCGCCGTCCGCAGGCCCGCGCAACCAGAAAGCTTAGGGACCTAATAAGTTTTAAAAAATGTCATAATTTCATAAAACGCATATTGCTATTACAAACCTGTAGCTAGCTCTGCACTTTGTTTCTTTCTACTTTCTCCCCCAATAACTAGAGCTGATGTGATAGTTTCATGGTGTGACAAAATTTCTTGCAACACAGTGTAGGTCTGTATAGCAAGTTCCCTAGTTGGTGATATGACTATACAGCATGTACCTGTAACCAAAACTTATCAATCACAATTGGCACTGGTAGGAGGTTGTATGGAAAAAGGTTCAGATTTATCAGAGTGATGTTGACTACCTCGTTGGCCATGTGGTCGCAAGTTACTGCCGGGCAAAGGATCTCAGGTTTGATTCCCAAGTCTGGCAAAGTATTAATGGGTTTTTAAAAAAAAATCTCAGTAATAACACAGAGTGTGTAAATGTGCCCAGTACATGGCACACCCCCTATTACATGGGACTTATAACATAAATATTGAAGTGGGTGTTACATTGTACAGTGGCAATAAGAGTGTAATGTGCACCTCTGCCTACACTTTCGGGGAAAAAAGGCGTGATGTTTTGCTGCTGCCTGGTCTCTGTGACATGTGTATTCAGATTTTACGTCAGATGCAGAAAGTGGAGTAGTAAGACAAATTAAATCTACTCTCTCTAAAATAAACTTATTATATTATTCAACGAATTGTTCAAAACAATCGTACCCATTTATTTATTTGTTTATTTGAAACTACCATTAATGATTACCTTGAATCTGTTTATCCTTACACTTGATAACAGTTTCTACAGCTGGAATTAAAAAAGCCAATGTTTTTCCGGAGCCTGTCTTAGCTGTGGCTACTACATCTGCCCCATCTAAAGCTTCAGGTAAAACCTCAGCTTGAATATCAGTCATTATTTTAAAGCCCATCGCTTTTACTGCTTGCAGGGTTCCCGCAGAGACTTGATCTTTCAAATACTTGAATTTCTTTCTCGGATTCACTTTTTCCTCTGAATCCATGGCTGATTCCATCGTACCTACAAAAACTGGGCTTTAAATTTTTGAATCAATGTAAATAAGAGTGTTGAATAATTCTTAACAAAACTCTCCCAGCTTCAAAACATCAATATATTCAGTACAACTACAAATTCTACATGTGAGAGATAATGTCAAACTTTGATGTCATATGTCAGAAGCCAAAATACCCACAGACACAGATACTTTAAAAAAATAATAGAGTAATACAGTATGGTGATCTATGGCTATAGTTTTTGACGTTTGTCAACTTATAGGGATGGGCAAATAAAAATTATCGATCATCATCGTCGTTATGACACGGCCGCGGCGTTAACCCAGTTACCCAGTTGTTTCCTTTTGAATACCGGGGACAACGTTACCGCTATTATTTCTCCACTACAACTAATTATTGTTATTGAAAGACAATTCAAGACCCAAATGATGTTATTTGTATTTGACGATAATTCATTCAAAAACAATCGATACTACAATTTCCAACCCTATTACCTTTGTCAACCTATTATCAACAAAACATTCACCTGTCAGTGTCACCACCACATGGCATGGCAAAGCAAGGAGCGGAACGTAACCCAACAGCCCTCTGTGTTGATTTATTTTCTGTTCCATTCGTTGACGGAACTCTGGAGGAGTGTAACCTGTGTGTATGTTTGTAAAGTCAATTTTAACTAATAGTTAGAATAAACTGTGTTCAATATGCCTACACCCGACCAAATTTTAATGAGGAAGATAAAAAAGCGGGAGAAGAAGAAGTTACAGCTTATTAATGCGAAAATTAACGGTGATACTGAAGACCATGCAGGTATTTACTAATATTTATGTTCTGTCTTATATATAACTGGGATATTTGTACTATTTTACTTTTATAGCAAATCTATAAACCAACAAGTACTTAACTTCTAAACAACCTAATTTATTAATGTGTTTTATTGTTTTTAATATCATTTCAGAACCTGAACCAACCATAGAAAGGGAAGCAATAAAAAGACCACATAATGAAAATGAAAACGCAGTATCCAAAAGTAAGTGTTTTATGTAACAACTTCACAAAAATATATCATGAATCTTTAGATTGTGCCCGAAAATTTGAAATGTAATGTGTATTAACTTGTATGTTTGTAAACATACCCGACACAGGAGAAAATCCTAGTGTGGGGCAACATTTTTTTTAAAGAGAAGAAAAGGTTACCTTATTTTGCCTTTAATATACAACTTGGTTGTATAAACTTAACATAACTTCATAACTTCACGCCTTTTATCCCCGAAGGGGAAGGCAGAGGTGTACATTATGGCACTTAATGCCACTGTACAATGTAACACCCACTTTTCACTATTTATGTCATGAGTCCCATGTAATAGGGGGTGATCCTATTGCCATATACAGGGCACAACTCCAGACTCCGTGCTACTACTGAGAATTTAAAAATTGTATAAAACTGTCAAACACCGGGCGGTCACCGGTGACCGCAACATATTGTTCTTTAATTGTGTCTATAAGGACTGTACTCGACAAGTTAATATAGTATCATGCTTATCTTCAATATGTGACAGTTTCTATAAAAATACCCCTTATTTTTCAGAGAAGAAAAAGAAGGTGAAACAAGACATACAACCAGAACAACCAGACAACAATGAAGCTGAAGATGAGGAAAGGGGCAGTAGTGACGAAAGTAACGCAGACAGTCAACACAGCATTGAAAATGATGCTGGTAAAGAAAATCAATGTAAGTATGATAATTAATATCAACATTGTTCTTATCTTACTGTTTTCTAAACCTATTCGCTGTTGAATTATAAAAAAATGCCTTTTCATTGTTACCCACTACTGAAATAAAGTAAATTACCTATTTTTCATTTTTGTTTTTTATGGTTCACTTACTCAGTTGGCTTAGAAACTCAAAATTACTAGACAACTCTACATTCTCTTGCTCTAAAATTTACTTTACATAGTTTATATATATGCTAACCGATTTTGCTAAGTTTAAAATATTGTTTTTTTTTTTACAGTGCCAATTTCCAGCCTAAGGCCCGGTATATTATCCAATAAAAAATTCTCTGACTTAGAAGGCAAGATTAGTGAACAAACTCTCAAGAGCCTTAAAGACATGGGGTTCACTACTATGACAGAGGTTCAAGCAAAAACTATCCCTCTACTACTTGATTTACATGATGTTGTGTGTTCTGCAAGGACAGGATCGGGCAAAACTCTAGCTTTCTTAATCCCAGTCGTAGAACTTCTCTATAAACTTAAATTTAAACCTAGAAATGCTACAGGTGCAATTATTCTGTCACCAACGAGAGAATTGGCTATGCAGACATATGGACAGTTAATGGGACTGATGAAATATCATAGTCAGACTTATGGTTTGGTGATGGGAGGTGCTAACAGAAAGAAAGAGGCGAGAAAACTATTTGGTATTAACATATTGGTGGCAACACCGGGTCGATTGTTAGATCATATGAACAACACACCCAACTTTTACTACAACAAAGCATTTTGTGTTGTGGTTGATGAAGTTGACAGAATGTTGGAGATGGGCTTTGCATCAGAAATTACACAAATCCTCAGTCGTCTACCATCCGAACATCAAACAATTTTTGTGAGCGCCACTCAAAGTAAGCAATTAGAGGTCATATACCGTACCATACCATCTGCCTTTCCGAAGACAACGCCACTTTATATAGGAGTTGATGACCATAAAGAACAAGCAACTGTAGAGTCTTTACAACAAGGATTTGTAATATGCCCGTTAGAAAAACGCTTGTTGATCCTATACTCATTTCTAAAGAGAACCCCACAGAAGAAAATCATGGTGTTTTTCTCCACATGTAGTTCTGTCGAATATCATTATAAGCTGTTTAACTATATAGATCTACCAGTTATGTCTATACATGTAAGTATCTGAAAAAATGCATTTAAAATTTACTTTTAACATTAATGATTAGAGTTTATTTTTGTTTATTTGTATTTGTATTTCTTAGGGAAAACAAGAGCAAGCAATACGTACAACAACTTTCTTCCAATTCTGTAATGCTGAATCCGGAATACTGCTATGTACAGACGTGGCTGCTAGAGGAATAGATATACCCGCCGTCGACTGGATTGTGCAGTATGATCCTCCAGATGACCCTAAGGTATGGTGACCTCCTTATTGTATTTAAAAATATTGACTTAGCTGAGGGATATTATTCTAGTTTGTAAATATTTTTATTGCGTACTGCTTTTCAATAATAAATTGGCAAAGTACAGTAGCATAATAGATTTAGAAGGAGAGTGTAGAAGCGTAAGCATATGCGTGGTATACCTATCATGGCAAGAACAAGTTCCGCAAGTTTTCTAGGATATTTATAAATTAGTGGTTCTTGTTATTTTTTGATGACATAACTCGTTGAGTACCGTCATTATAGACACAATTAAAGAACAATATGTTGCGGTCGTCGGTGACCGCAACCTATTGATCTATACTGTCATTTTATTAAGCACTGAGTAAATTATCTTTTTTTTTTTTCAGGACTACATTCATCGCGTAGGTAGAACGGCGCGTGGCCTCAGAGCAAATGGGCATGCGTTGTTGTTGCTCCGCCCTGAAGAGTTTAACTTCCTCTACCATTTGAAACGTGCCAAAGTTGTATTGAATGAATTCATATTTTCTTGGGACAAAGTTTTCGATATTCAAGAGCCGGTTAGTAACTTATAAGAATTATTAAACTTACTTATTATATCTGTTAGATTTTCACCACATGAACTGTCTAAATGTCGCATAAAAATAATGCGAAATTAACCCGAGGCCGTAGTTTGTTTTACGTTAAAAATAATCGATCGAAGCCAGACGTTAGTCGCTGCTCTGATTCGTTAATTTTTTTTTGAGCTGGCCATTCAGAGCCTCGAATGCATATTTGTTTCGATTACTTTAAACACACCTATACTAACTCGAACTTTCTACTTTCCGAAGGTACCTACAAATATTGAAAATAACTCCTGTATTTTTCACTCCTATGCATATTTATTGAATTTTTTTTTTCATGTTTCAGCTAGAAAAACTGATATTAAGAAACGCTACCCTGAACCGGTTAGCCAAAGACGCGTACACGACTTATGTAAGAGCATATGATTCTCATCATTTGAAGAATATATTCGATATCCAGTCTTTGGATTTAAACGCGGCCGCAAAATCGTTTGGTTTTGCAGTTCGACCATATGTTGACCTAAAAGTCGCTAGCCTAAAACCCAAAAAGCAAAAACAAGACCGTAAACATGGACACTCCAAATCCCGAAATGCACAATCAAACTTTAAACAGAAAGCAGAAAATCAATCAGGCAGAAATAAATTTAAGAGACAACAAAACAAAAGTCAATAATAGAAAAATATTAGGATAATTATGTAAATAAAATACATTTATTTTAATATCATTTTGTTTGTTTTATTGTATTATTATTTTAATTTTCCTCCCTTTTAAACCCTAGTATGTTGATAATGTTTAAAAAAATGTTTGTGTAACGGGGTTGTTTTTAGTTAGTAACGCCTAAAATAATAGCGTAGTCAGTAGTGTGAACTGGGAATACATATGAGTCTGAGACTCCAACTTGCCACGCCCAAAGCGGGAGAAACAGTTTGATGATATTCGCAAGTAAAAAAAGGGGATTGCAAGCAAATTACATATATGACATCATTAGCCTATAAGTACCCACTGCTGAGCAGACGTCCGATGACCGCTCTCCACTAACTACATTATAGACCTTCCAATGTTTAGAGATTACTTTTGTATGAACAAATTTAGGGGATGATTTTCAACGGGTTAACCAACAAATTATGAATCGAGCCGTACACTACACATTATTTATAACAATTATTGACAACTAGCTTCGGCCAGCGGCTTCGCCCGCGATCACGGAGTAAAATGCCTATGTATTACTTCATACTACTTCGTTTTAATATTACTGAGTAATTATTAGCGTATTTCTTGTATAAGTTTGGTTACAGTTGTTTCTATTACAGATTTCAATGATTATTTTTTTATTGAATAGGTAATAATGTTAACTTTTTTCTAATTATGGATGAGTGAGAATATTATGAACGAGTAAACAAATATAATCAGAAAGCTCCGAACTGCTAAGCTATCGAGAGTTACACGTGTTATTGTGAGTAAACCATAAAAGATAGACATATGCTGTTGCAGGATATTTTATGGGTAACTTTATGTAGGATATTTCCGTCCTACATGATTTCTATGCAGCTTTAACCATTAAGGTTTTTACTATCATATCGAGGGGTAACGGGCTATTTGGTTTAAGCGACATTTTTGCAACTTTACAGGAGAGCCTTTTAAAGTTTGAAATTTCGAAAAAAAATTCATAACAAAAACGCTTCTGCAGATATTTGAACGGGGTAAATTGCATTGAAATTTAAATAAAAATATCTAGTTGCTGATGCTAATTCCAAATAAAGCGGACCTTTAATTACAAAGATAAATGTCGCTTAATACAATCTGCCCTTTTTTAGAGTCAGGAAAAATGATTTAAGTGACTTCATAACTACAATTGGCTACAAGGGAAAAAAATTAAGCGACGATGCACTCTATTTACAGAGTAAGCCAAAAAGTATGAAGTAACGAAACCCAAAATAAATAGAAGCAAGCTATTTATCTCAACTACCAATTTAGACTAAAATGAGTAACAGGCTAATTTACTTATGTGACATATAACATTGAAATTGTATCGTTAAATGTTTATGTTTATTTACATCTAAGACGATTAATGGCTGATAAAACAACCTGGATATATCGAAACAACCGAAAATCTCAGGTGCTTACATCGGATAAATAAACACAACACAATATCAAAGTATTTATTTAGATTAATAATAACAGTCTGCATAGGAACAACGATTATATTATTATTTATTCAGCAAAATCAGATAAATTAATGGGTTATTTACTGAAATTGCCGTTTTGTATGAAAAAATTTAAACGATTTTTTTCATGTATTTTTTATTTGTATTTATCGAAGTAATCACCCATGTAATCAATGCATCGTTGCCAACGCAGTGGCAGTTTATTGGGCATCAATAAACTGCCACAAAATACTTCTTAAACAAATCAGCTGGACGGGTGGCAACAAATTCTTTAAATGCATTTTGTACTGCCTCTCGGGTAATGAATTTTTTTCCCGCGAAGAAGTTATTCAAATTCTGGAAAAGAAGTAGTCTGGTGAGTAGGGTGGATATTGGAGAGCTTCCAACCCCAGTTCTTGTAACTTGGAGACCATCTGTTGTGCAGCTTTAGGTCGCGCGTTGTAATGCAGGAGCAATGGAGATGAGCGATTGACCAGTGCTGGTTGGAGATGTGTCAGCTTCTCCATCATTGTGTTCAGTTCTTCACATTACACATCCGCAGTAATGCTCACTCCGTTTGGTAAGAACCTGTGATGAATCAGACTGGCGCTAGACCATCAGTGACCATCACTTTTCTAGGAGTAAGTTTTCGTTTCGGGTATTGTTTAGGTGCTGAACTAACTACTACTACAACTATGTTGAGCAGTGCAAGGCACTGCTCGATGCATACTTAGCTCTGGCGATCATTGAGTTTGTGGGACACCCACTTGTCAAGTTTTTTTACCTTGCCAATTTGACGTAAATGGACCAATATTGTTTTGATGCTAACGTCGAAAGCTGTTGCTAAATCAGCCGTAGATTGTATGTCATCAGCTTCCACAATAGCCTATTGTCACCAAAGTCTTCGGACGACCGCGAGGTTGATCTTGAAATTAAAGTACTTAGGATTCAATTTCGATGAGCGTTTTACGTAAACACTGGCGGTGAGTGCGCGTCCCGTCTGTCTTCGACGCATTCTGGAGTGACTGAAGCGCCAGCGCACGATAGTCCAGTTGGATGATCACGATTTTTAACACCCGGGCGATGAAATAAATATAGTATCATATGACATGATTGAAATGTACCATATTAAAATTTAGTGATTTAAAGACCGATTCATATTTTTATGAATACTGGCAAAATGTTTCAATATCCATTATTAATGTTATCATCTGTATAAAACGACATGCATTTTAAAAAAAAGGAGGGCTAAATGATTTATGACTAAACAAAATATCTGAACGAAAACGACTATTTGGTTTAAGTAGCACCCTGCGTGGAAAATAAAAGCAGCTAGAAGTGTTTAAGAGACGAACCATGTCGTATTTGGGTGACGGATAAATGTTTTAAGCGACAACACACCGTGTGATTAGTGGGAAGTCAAAATGATTCAAGTTACTTGCTAGTAAAAATTAGAAACAGGAAAAACGCTTTAACTCATTTTGACTTATTAATTAGAGATAGGGTGACTGGTTTATGTCTCGGTTATTAATATGATGGTATGGTTCAAGTACATAATTTAATAAAAAATGCGAAATCCATGTCGTTTAATACACTGTCACTTTGGAAACAACACGAAAATGGAATTGTTTGAAACGCCAAAAAAGTGCTCCGATTTTAATGAAACCGGCATCAATCGACGGAGAAAAATTCGCTGATTCCGAATATATATATAACTCAATATCGCCCAAAATGTCGCTTAAACCAAATAGCCCGTTACCCCTCGATATGTATGTATAGGTCTATGTATTTTATTGTGATCTATTTATTTAACACATTTCATGTCGTGTTACGCACAGTGTCTCTTTTTTTACCGTTTTTCCTGTCGAAGGACTGCAGGAAGAGATTCCTTCGGGAATATGTAGTTCCTATGTACCTCCAAAATATTTATATATGTTCTCCTGTGTACTGTCTGTGTGTTGTGCATAAATAGATAAATAAATAAATAAATAAATAAATAAGGCTGCACACGCGACGGAACCTTAAAAAATGGTATAACTTTTCCCGTTTTTCCAACATTTCCCTTCACTGCTCTGCTACTATTGATTGTAGCGTGATGGAAAGTATACTATACCACCTCTCCAGGAGTATAAAGGATAATTGTACCTCATATCATTAAAATCCGTCGAGTAGTTTTTGTTTCTATAAGGAACATACAGACAGACAAACTAAATTTCACTGATTGAAATTTTGGCATTAGTATCGATCAATAGTGGTTATTTTGGAAATATATTTCATGTACAGAATTGACCTCTACAGATTTATTATAAGTAACTACCTATAAATTAAGAAATATGTACCAAGTTATTTCAAGAATCTTAATTCTGCTATTCATTAGTGCATTTTAAATATTTTTAAGATTTAGCGCTTTTTATACCGATTCTTCTATTAGTCATTTCACATGAGTAACCCGTTTTAATTTAGTATGTCTCACGATAGTTATTAGTAAGACATACCTAATGATTTTTTATTTAAGTAATTCGTTTAATAGACTATACGTAAGTTAATAAATAATCATTCTAGGAGGTACTTATTAATAATAGCCACATATTCATTTATTTTTTTATTATATAACACAGAAAGTAATTATCAAACCAGCCTATCGAACAAGATGCAACTAAAACTTTTTTATTGGCAGAACGTGACAGCTAAAATATTTATACTCTGTGGCCTGCAAACGAAGTTGACATTTCATTGATTTGACGTTGACGTATTTCAAAACGTGCGTGCGTTTCGTGTGTGTTGTATTTATGTGGATTTATGAAATCAATTACTAATTGATACAAACCGTGTTCAATATGCCTACACCCGAACAAGTTCTTAAGAAGAAGAATAAAAAGCGGGAAAAGAAAAAATTAAAGCTAAATAATAAGAACCAAAATGGTATTACGGAAGACAAAGCAGGTAACATAACCTCTTTAAACTCACATTGAAATGTTATGTTTCCGTACTTTTTATCATTATCTTATTTTTGAGCCTAATCTATTAGGTATATATTAATGTCCTAATTATACTTACTGCCTATTTATATTATTTGCAATGTGTCTGTAAAAATAATTATTAGGAAATCTAAACTAATTAAATAACATGTGTTACAGTTTTTTATGCAAGAGTGATAAAATGTTATAATTATTCGGATAAGGATCCAGATTACATAACAGCTATGAAATCCATATTCCCTAAAATAAATCTAGTGCTTCACATGTGTAATTTTTTCTTTTGTAGTTTATTAATTTTACAGAATTTTGACTACGGTAAAATGTGGTGAATAGAATTCGAAATAGATACTGGAGTTGGGTGCATAATTGCATTAAACATTTTCTAATATCTATTTACCCTTTTTCCTTCTCTATTCACCCTGCTTTACCCTGCATCATGTTTCTTTATAGTTGCTCGATTTGCAGATATTTAATTTTGAACACCTTACTTTGATTAATCTAGTACCTCTAGATTACTGCTATTTTATGAAGATTGACTTTTCTTATTTGAGTTTGTTACTTCCATTTCAGAAGCTGAAACTAACACAGAAAAGACAGTAAAGAAAAGGCCACATGATGATGAAAACGAAAAAGCAATACCCAAAAGTAAGTGTTCATTGTGGAATATAACATTACTACACACACGATATTTGTTAATGTAACATTTTCACATAACATAATATCACGCAATCCCCGATGGGTTAGACAGGGGTGCACAATATATGGCATTTCATGCCATATGCCATACAATATAAAGTAACCCACTTTTCACTATTTTATGTTATGTGTCCCATGTAATAGGCGGTGAGCTTTTAGCCAAATACTGGGGACAATTCCAGACACCATGCTACTTTTGAGAAATTTTGAAATAAAAAAATTTACTTTATCCAACCTGGCCTGACAGTCGCACATGCGACCGATCGGCCAATGAGGCAGTGGTTGACTGAGTGAATTCATGGTTAATTCGCATTTTTTTGTGTTTAATAAATGTAAATTACATTACAATGACTTTACAGTAGTGTAGTCTGTGTTCCTATTCTAACAAAAAAAAAACTGCTATAATATCAACTAAGTAGTTTTAGGGTATTTAGACTTTTTAATTTTTAAATAATTGTCATTAATGTTGTAGAAAAGAAAAAGAAGGTGAAGCAAGAAGCAAAACCGGACCCAAAACCTGAACCTGTGGAAGAAGAAAGTGACGAAGATAACAGTGACACTGAAAATGTAGAGGATAAAATTGAGAACAGTGCTGAAAGTAAGAATCACTCTTTATACCTACACTAGCTACACCCGCTTTGCTTGGCTCCTATTGATAGCGTGATGTTTTTTGCCCTATAGCATTCCTCAATAAATGCACTGGGGTTACTTTTGAAACTGATCTCAATGTCAATGCAATTTCAATCCAATAAAATCTCAATAGTTATTCGATGTCAAAACTATACAACCCCAATTTTTGCTTTTTGGGTGATACTAGCATCATCTGTGCTTTATGGGCTGCTGTGCATTTGTTTCTTTCCACTTGCTTTCTTCTAATTCATATGCAAGCATAATTTGATGGGTGTTGTGTAACTGTACAACATTATGTTTGACATTGCACAAATTAGTTTATTGGAGTTGTTGACATCTTTAGATATTCTATCACATATAAAATCTACTATTATATAAAAAAATTTTACTTGTGCAACATTTTATTAACTATTTATTTCACATATTACAGTGCCAGGTTCCAGTCTATGCCTTGGTATATTATCGGAACAAAAATTCACTGCGCTAGAAGAAAAAGTTTGTGAAGCAACTCTCATGGGTGTCAAAGAAATGGGCTTCACTACAATGACAGAGATTCAAGCTAAAGCAATCCCCCCACTACTTGAAGGCAGGGACCTAGTAGGTGCTGCTAAGACAGGATCTGGCAAAACTTTAGCCTTTTTAATACCAGCTATAGAACTTATCTATAAGTTGAAATTCAAGCCTAGAAATGGTAAGTTATTTCGACATAATAAAACATTACTCATACTCATATCTCATTTGGGAATGATGAATAATATAAAAGTCCCAGTACCTTCCCAATGTGAGATATATAATACAAGTTTTATCTCCCTTTCTCATGTAATTTAATGATGATACAAAGGCGAATGTGAAAACTGACTGCCATAACTCTAAGACATTTGTAAACAGCAACATGAGAGTAGTGTGAGTCTCCGGTGAATAACTGTCGAGGCACCTTTTGTGTTGTTGTCCATCATTTGCTGCGGAGTTCGCTCAGTTGTTTTATGAACACAGAATGGATATCTGAACTTTTAAGTACTATGTGTTCTAAGTGAAATGTACTTGCAAAAAAGCTAAAGACTTTTTGTTTCCTTTAGGTACTGGTGTGATCATTCTATCACCAACAAGAGAATTGGCGATGCAGACATTTGGAGTGTTAATGGAATTGATGAAGTATCATCATCATACTTATGGTTTGGTGATGGGAGGTGCTAATAGAAGTACAGAAGCCCAAAAACTCTCTAAAGGTAAGATTGACCCTCATTGTCTTATTAATTATCTTTTGTGTAATTAATTGGTTGTTGTTATAGATTTATTTAATTTGTGTTAACAAGGTTTGCTGGTGGATTAATGATTAAACAATATAGTGTTGGGGTCATTACTTACTAAAATAGTGATGTTCATACATGTAACAAAGTTCACATATTTATATTTTAGGTATCAACATATTAGTAGCAACACCTGGCCGATTATTGGATCATTTGCAGAACACACCAGACTTTTTGTACAAAAACCTGCAATGCCTTGTGATTGATGAAGCTGACAGGATACTGGAGATTGGTTTCGAAGAAGAAGTTAAACAGATCATTAGACTGTTGCCAAGTAAGTAATAGAGAAGATTGTTGAATAATGCTTTTTCTGTTATCATGTTTCTATTATGCTAATAAATGTTGTTAGTTCAATCCTCTAAGCAAAAATATATCCCACAGTTGGTTTACAGTAACATTGTTTTCTATGTTATATTTTAGCCTTAAATGAAGTAAACTAATAAGTAAAATTATACCTAACTTGCTTCTGCCCGCGACTTTGTACGCGCAATCCTGTTTTCTCACAGTCCCATAAGATTTTCAGGATTTTTTTTCTATTATAAGAACCTTTTGACAATAACAAACAAAACAAAAAAAAAATTCAGCCAAATCGGTCTAGCCGTCCATTTTTATATATATAGATTTAAAGTTCTGTTCTTGGCGAAAATTAAAGCTCATTTTCTATAATTGCAAACTAATATGAAACGTTTTCTTTTCAGAACGTCGCCAAACAATGTTGTTTAGCGCTACACAAACTAAAAAAACAGAATCTTTAACAGCATTGGCAGTGAAACAAGAACCAGTTTACGTTGGAGTTGATGACCACAAAGAACAAGCCACTGTTGAATCTTTAGAACAAGGGTATGTGTCTTAAGTATATATTATGTATGTAATAACAGAAATTACCGTTTCTTTTATTAGTCTAACTTTATACATCTTTTTTCACAGGTACATAGTATGCCCTTCAGATAAACGCATGATGGTTCTATTTACATTCTTAAAGAAGAACAGAAAGAAGAAAGTAATGGTGTTCTTTTCTACATGCATGTCTGTGAAATATCATCATGAGCTCTTCAACTATATTGATTTACCTGTCTTGTCTATACATGTAAGTATCTGCTATGGCTTTAACAATAGTTTAAGTTAACCATAAAAATACATTAAGGGGTGATTTTTAAATAAACCTATGTGTCTAACCTAATTGAAATTTATCTGGCGTTGGAGAAATCGGCCCTTAATATAGACCAGTAGCATTTTAAGTAAACTAGTAAGGCTCGATTGGATCACAGACAGTCTCTTAGCTTGGCTACATATTTTTGACACATAAGAAAAAAGTACATCAAAAGTTATGCAGTCATGGAATCAGCTAACGCAACAGGCTTTTGATAATATTTTGCTAGTTCTATGTTTAATACACTACTTACTAATGTAATTAATTCTATCAACATTTGTTTCCCAGGGAAAACAACAGCAAACAAAACGTACGACGACTTTCTTCCAATTCTGTAATGCTGAATCCGGTATACTGTTATGTACAGACGTGGCTGCTAGAGGATTGGATATACCCGCCGTCGACTGGATTGTGCAGTATGATCCTCCAGACGACCCTAAGGTACAATTGCTTCTATGTATTTCCATATATGAATTGCTCAGTGCAGTAGCCCAAATTTTGACTGTGACAAGATTGTAATTATTTTGTAAGTGCTATAGTGATAGTGCTAGAAATAGAACTAAATAAACTGACTAAATATGAGAAACTATTTTAACTAAAAATCGCGGGTTACTCAAGTGAATATACTGAGAAAAGCTCTACTAGTTTCGAACTACAGAGGGGTTGTTGCTCATGACCAGCGTGCGCGGTCGCGGCGGTGTAGACTGCGCGACATCGCATCGCCGCGACCGCGCACGTTGCTTTAGTTATTTTAGTATGTCTCACGATAGTTATTATAACATCTATCTTCTCCTCTGCTGCCAGACGTCCAGTTTAACTGTACGGTTTGGGCAGTAAAAGGGCGAAAAGTGTCGGTTGGTTTAATTCCAACACGTAATAACATGTTTTAGATATTGGTCTGATAATATGTTTGAAAAAAAAGGCAATTTTCGGATTTTGACAAACCTCTTAATATAGGCAAACTGAAAACCAGGGCCAACCAATTTATTTCTGTGATTACTAATCTAAACAAAATTATCTTATTTCAGGAATACATTCATCGTGTAGGTAGAACGGCGCGAGGACTAGGAACGAGCGGTCATGCGTTGTTGTTCCTCCGCCCCGAAGAACTTGGCTTCCTCCGGTACTTGAAGCAGTCTAGAGTCACACTCAACGAGTTTGAGTTTTCTTGGAGTAAGGTCGCCGATATTCAATTGCAGGTTAGTAAACCACGACGATAAAAAATTCAACATGGAAATAATAATAAAAATGTTTAAAGTATTATAAACATCATTCTCCATTACCATTGATGAATGTAAAAGATGATAAAGCGAATTGGTTTATGTCAGAATCGGGTCAATTGGCTTTCCAATGTCTCTGCTCTAACGGCAGACAAGCGTGACGATAATATGTATCAGTATCTGAAAAACTTATCTGTTAGAAGAATCGGAATTCACAACTTTTTGTATTGTTTCAGCTGGAAAAATTAATATCTAAAAACTATTTCCTGAACCAGTCTGCTAAGGAAGCATTCAAGAGTTATTTGAGGGCATACGATTCTCATCACTTGAAGACTATATTCGACATTGACACTATCGATTTGGCAAAGGTCTCCAAATCCTTCGGTTTTACAGTGCCACCTGCAGTTGAGCTGAAGGTGGCAAACAAAGGCCCTCCTCAAAAGAGGAAAGGAGGTGGTGGATACGGATACTTCAAGTCTTTGAATGCCCCATCAAACTTCAAACAGAAAGCGGACAAAACTAAAATATACAGGCAAAAAGGAAATAATAGAAAAACCGTAGGATAAGTTATGAAATAAATCGATTTTATTTATACATTTGTTTTATTGTAATAAATTATATAATCTAAACATGTTGTCAACAATGTTGTAAACAGTTATCACATTTCGATGCTCTATTTACAATAACCCTACACATATATAATACCTATATGTAGGTACACATACAAGTATATCTATCTAGACATGGATAGAATTCGTAATCTCAAAAGATTACAAATTGTTGATAAACCATATTGTTAGGTAAAAAATCTTGATTTATTGATGCGGCTTCTTCCATTCTTGAAAACTTGCGACTTCATTTCTTATTCGGTACTGGGAAGATACAGTTAAGAAAACAATTATATTATGTAATTTCTGTTATTACATTGTCAAATGTTTTGGCGGGAATTTATCTAGAATGTTATCATTTTGGGTGCACTGAGATTAATCTTGAGAGCTACGTGTTTACAAATATATAAAATAATGCAACTCATGTTTAGAAGTAAACTACCACACGATATGCATTGTGTGAATACGTGTCGATTTTTTATTAATAAGTGTAATAAACGTAGACACGTTAACATATCGGTTTAAGATGAGTCTGAGCAAATACGTATTTATTTACAGACTTAACAACATTTAGATTTATATTATAACTTTCGTGAGCCATAATAAAATTAATTATTATGTTTTTCGGCTCTTACTAGTTTCAAGCCATGCTAGAAGACAGGCTCATAACTATGAGCAGCATTGGCAGCATGTGGTCATTGAATCGCAAACGTAGCATCTGTACAATCTACTTATTTTTGGAAAGGATACAAAAGTCTACGTGAGGCTGTTCTTGAAACCCAAAGGCCTTAGCAGCTAGTTTTAAATCCAAGGAGTTGATATCGAATATCTTCTTAAGCGGATGCTTCTTATAACACCTGAGAAATGACAGGTACGCCTTCCTTGCTGATGTCTTCATTACTCCATTATTAGCTATTAAATCTTCTAGCTAGAAAGTAGAAAAAAGATTACTTAATATAAACAAAATTCTTAGGGTCAATAATTCATATTCAAGCCTGCTGCTAGCATTCGAGCGTCCGCGTGCGAATACCGATTATGCCGCCCCCTTTTTGTTGGGTGGGTAAAATGTCCTCAAATTACTCTTGACGAAGTGACTCCTACAACTCTTACTAACTAAAAAGTGAAAACCACCCCATTCCCTTCAACACTTGCTCAAAGCTAGGGCCCCAGTCAGTACCCATATGACAGCCTACCCTCCAGCAAGGCAACAAAGGATTGTGTGGGTCTGTCTGTGGTGTCAGATGAAGTAATGACTCTTTGAGGCCTGCATTTTACACGACGCGCCGTACGCTCGGGTCTGCTACGTGTGAGGTGATCCTTGGCTCTCGATAGATTTCGAGGACGCTCGAAAGTGATCGAGGGCTCTCGATAGATTTCGAGGACGCTCGATAGTTTTCGAGGACGCTCGATAGTTTTCGAGGACGCTCGATAGTTTTCGAGGACGCTCGATTGTTTTCGAGGACACTCGAAAGTGATCGAGGACGGTCAATAGTTTCTGAGGACCCTCGAAAGTAGTCGAGGACGCTCGGAAGTGATCGAGGATGCTCGAAAGTGATGTAGTAATTCTCGAAAGTAAAGGAGGACACCCGAAAGTGATCGAGGACGCTCAATAGTTTTTGAGTGACTCTCGAATTGGACGCTCAATAGTTTTCAAGAACGCTCGAGACTTCGAATTTAAGGCGCTACTGACCGGTATAGGGCCTCAAACGTAATACACAACGCTAATATTGTTTGCGTCGAGAGGAATTTTTTCCCAGCGATTATATTTCTTATGCTTTCTGCTTACTCTGGACATTGATTTTGAATAGTAGGTAATGAGTCGCTCGATTTGCCGCCCCCATGATCATGCGCCCGTGTGCTGTGCACGCTTTGCACGCGCGCTTACGGCGGTTCATATTAGCATATTCATAATGAAATGTGACAGCAAATTCACCCGTATCTTCTCAAGATAAAGTACACATTCCTATTTAGATAAAAACAAGACGCACGATTTAGTATTCGTCAGGATTCGTGTGTCCATCGCTGATATTTATTTAGGAAGCAATATGTGCATTACTCCGTCACTTGCAGTCTAAATGTGACGTAGAGTAGCTAAATCGGAACCATTTAGATCCCTTAGATATGGTCGAATACTGAAACGTTACTCAATCATAACTCGCGCTTTAGTGTAGATCAGTCACTATAAATTCTTTATAAAATGAAAGAGATGGCATGATATTTAACCACAACTTAAGTAGCCTTTCAGTATTCGGGCGTTAGTAGTTCCGCGGCAGACATCTGACATTATTTATGAGTGGTTAAAAATGCTTGGAACGGCTTACCATTTCTTGAACTTCATTAGGAGGTTCTCCAAAAGTATATTTATCTAAAAACACCTTTTCTTTTTCCAAAAATTTTATAAAATTCTCTTCTTCTGGTCTTAATAATATGACTGCATTTCCTTTGTTATTGAGTCCTCTGGCCGTGCGACCAACTCGATGAATATATTCCTAAAAGATAAGATAATGCCGAAATAGTAAACATGCCAATCTAGGCTTGTAAGATAAATAAACAAAGTTACCTAAATGTCAATCATTCTGAAGTGTGAAGTGACCCATGCCTACAATGTGGCCAATTCGTGTTCGACTGTTTAAATATACGTAATCAGTCGCAGTTTTATTGTGTTGCTGATAATTCAAAGTCTACTAATAACCACTGATAGGGCTTGTATGCTTGTATCGTAAAACAGGCTTCCAGTTAAAAAGTTATTTTTATTTGTTTTATCAAGATACAACATTGAAGAATTAAGCAGAAAAAATAAATATGAGACCTAACCGAAATAGAATGGTTTGTAGGTACATACATCGAAGTCGTACGAAGGATAATTTTCTTCCTGGAAATTTTAGTGAAAATAGTATGTGGAGTACATACAGTTGCGTTGCGTTTATTGGCGGTCAAATGTGGAAGAGTAGTAGCAGGAGAGTATCTTGTCTTACGGGTAATGATAATTGAAAAAAGATTTCCTTGAATGTGTCATTCAAAAATAGGTACCTTAGGATCTGAAGGTGGGTCATACTGCACAATCCAATCAACACTAGGAATATCCAAACCGCGTGCAGCCACGTCAGTACAAAATAAAACCCCGTTTTGCGCTTCAATAAAATTATGATACGCTTCTTTCCTCCTAGCTTGACTTTGCTGACCCTGAAAAGAAATAACATTGAATTAAAATAATACTGACATAAGGTAAATACGTGACATAACATAAGGTAAATTTATAAGTGTGGGAGAGCCATGCTTCGGCACGAATGGGCCGGCTCGACCGGAGTGATACCACGGCCTCACAGAAAACCGACGTGAAGCAACGCTTGCGTTGAGTTTCGTCGTGTGAGTGAAGATACCGGAGGCCCAATTACCCTCCCCTTCCCCAATCTCCCCAATCCCTGAATCCCCAACGATCCTCAAACTCCTAATCCCCAAAAGGCCGGTAACGCACTTGTAACGCCTCTGGTGTTCCAGGTGTCCATGGGAATAAGTGTGGGAGAGCCATGCTTCGGCACGAATGGGCCGGCTCGACCGGAGTGATACCACGGCCTCACAGAAAACCGACGTGAAGCAACGCTTGCGTTGAGTTTCGTCGTGTGAGTGAAGATACCGGAGGCCCAATTACCCTCCCCTTCCCCAATCTCCCCAATCCCTGAATCCCCATCAATCCTTAAACTCCTAATCCCCAAAAAGCCGGTAACGCACTTGTAACGCCTCTGGTGTTCCAGGTGTCCATGGGCGACGCTGATTGCTAAATACAGGCAGGCAGGTTCATTAAGGATGTAAGTACGTTTGCCTGCCACTTCGCAGTGGAAAGAAGGTAACTTCGAATTAAATAAATACTCACAACTTATCATAACATCATTTAAAAAGCCTTTTATCCCCGAAGGGGTAGGCTGAGGTACACATTATGCCACTGTACAATAATGTAACATCCACTTTTCACTATTTATGTTACGAGTCCCATGTAATAGGGGGTGAGCCTATTGTCATATACCGGGCACAATTCCAGACTTCGTGCTACTACTGAGATTTTTTAATAACCCAGTAATACTTTGCTCGACCCGGAAATCGAACCCGAGACCCCTTGCCCGGCAGTCGCACTTGCGACCACTCGGCCAACGAGGCAGTCACAAGTATAGGTATTTCTACTCATAAATACTCACATGTATACTTAAAACAGAAGCTTTGCAATGTTCTTGAAAAAATTCGTGATGAAAATCCACAGACCGACATGACGAGAAGAATACCATAACTTTAAGCTTTTTACTTTTCTTCAGCATTTTGTACAACCATGCTATCCTTTTTTCTACTGGACAAATGTAATACCTGCAAAAAACATCATCCGTCTAGTCATTTGTATTAGGACAAGCGACACATCTTATACTATTTTATATAAAGCGGAATATATTTTGTTTGTTTGTTTGAACGCGCTGATCTCCGTAACTACAAGTCTGATTTGAATAATTCTTTTTGTGTGGGATAGTGCATTTATCGAGGATGGCTATAGGCTATAAAACATCATGCTATGATCAATAGGAGCTGAGCAGAGCGTGTGAAACCGCGCAGAAGTAGCTAGTAATTAATACAACTACTCCGAATTTTTCATACTCAATAAATAAGTATCTATAGGTAACAGGGTGCTTACTCTTGAAACCAATCTCAATGTCAATGCAATTTCAATCCAATAAAATCTCAATAATTATTCAATCTCAAAACTATACAACCCCTATCGTAGATGATAAATAGCATTTAGATTACGGATTATAAAGCCAAACTCAATACTAATTAGTTCATTAAATATCCACGTAATACGGATGCAATGGGCGCTAGTGTTGCAATTCAAAAGTACGAAATTTTACAAAACCAATGTCGATCGATCGGAATTGGATTCAAGAGTAAGCCCCCAGATGTTGAAAGAGCAATGGTTAAACTACAGCTTCGCTTTGGGTAATCAGTGAATATAAATAAACATAAAAGTCCCACATGTTGACCACATGTGACTTCGTTTTAGTGTAGCATACGGAACTGTTAATAATTGTCTTATGAGTCGCGATAAACTTGTTGCGTGTCAGTGGAAGACCGATGACTGACTGCATAACAATGCAGCAGTCGGTCGTCTGACACTGCCAATCCACTAACAGAAATGATTCATTTCAGTGTGGACTGATGGTCGTCAGTGTTGACCATAGAAATATGAATATCTATGGTGTTGACTGACAACCATCAACCATCAACATCATCAATCAACCATCATGACGATGAGGCTTTAGGGAAATTCGATTTAGCCAGCGAATATTACCTTGACAGCATTGTGCATAGTCATATTTGAAACACAGGTTTAATTAGAGGTATAGTACAACTTCCTTCTGCCAGCAGCAAATCGCATATTCAGGATAAAAATAACCCCATGTTAATCCAAACTATAACGCTCCCTATAAAATTTCATCATAATTTTCCAGTAGTTTATCCTAACAATTTACGTCCATCTATTCATCGTTACAAACTTTCGCATTTATAAAATTACTAGCTGAGCCAGCGACTTCGTTCGCGTGGAATAGTGATTCACAGCTCCTCCCCGTAGTTAATAGCATGATAATATGTAGCCTATATGTTGACCCGACCCGTTAATAATATTCATGCAAAATTTGAAGAAAATCCATGCAGCATTTTTTGAGTTCATCCCGACATACATACAGACAAACAAACAGACAAAAATTTTATAATCCATTTTTGTTTCGGTTTTGACAGTAGATCACAACCAAACCATTCTTTTAAAAAATATGCGATGTATAGTTTTCGCTTTCCTACGATTTCATTATATGTATAGACGTCGCGGAGAACCTAACGGGTTACCGGGACTCCGGCTCGACGTGCAGGAGAAGGAACGGGGTGGTTTTTAGTCAGTAAGAGTCTGACACTCCCTCCCGCCTCACCCAGGCGGGAGAAGACATTCGATGATTTCTCCTCCTTAAAAAAATGTTATGTACAGATAGTTATAGTAGGGTATAAATAGGTCTGTATATTTACCCCTGTTGCAATCCCGTCACTGTGGATGTTTTGTTATCAGTTACAGATACTAAAACTGGATCGGTTCTCAGTGCCAACCTGGCGAGATTCTTGACATTTTCGCCCATAGTAGCACTGAATAAAACTGTTTGTCTTTTTGCTGTAATAAAACAATTACATTTTACATTTAAACTGTCAAACACCAAGCGGTCACCGGTGACCGCAACCTATTGTTATATAATTGTGTCTACAAAACCGGTACTCGACGAGTTAAATAATAAAAAAATGTAAGTACAACTTAGGCAATGTGTTTGGGAAGGTGTTTGCACAGTTGCCTAAAAATATTGATCTTATGTTAATAATAAATAATTTATGAAAACTGAACTTTTATTTGTTTCATTTGATAATAGACATTATTAATTACGTCATCATACCTTTAGACTTTAGAGACTTGATAGGTACAAGTAAGATGTCCTGTATTGAAAACTATCCGACCATTTTTTTTGAAGTCGGTAAAAATAGGTGTATTATAACAACTACATAAAATGCAGATTGACTTCTAGTTACATGTCATGTTATTACAAAGTTATTTTATTTTTAATCATAATGTAACTATTAAATCAAATCTGAAAGGTAACTTTTTCTCATTTATTTAATTTTATACTAGTGATAAGATTATAAATATTATATTTATAGCCTTACTTACTTGGTAACAAATTAACAATGCCAGTTATGTGCTTCTGAAAGCCTGCTTCTAAAAGTTTATCAGCCTCATCTAACACTAAACACTGCAGCTTGTTACAATTAAACTTTTCCGTACTTTGCAGATGGTCTAAAAACCGACCTGGAGTTCCGACTATGATATTTGCACCTGCAACATAGAATTGGGATATAATCATGCTTAGAAGGGACAGAGAACTGTGATCCTTTTATTCTTCTTTACATTTAATTGAAATACGCCTTTATGCACCTGGTTTATGTACGTTATAGCAAACCAGACCCATTTTCAACATGAAGAACATTTTACATTAGCCAACCAAACAGAAAGCAAAATACGAAACATACTAAATTTTTAAAACAGTTTTTATATTGAATGTTCAAAAAAATTAATAAATAATTATCTGAATCTACTACAAAAACAGGATATGTTTTTGCAAATTAGATATTGCTATCAAAAAATTAGCAAAACATGTTTCGTGCATTTTACAACAAATTCTAATTTATGAACAAAATGAGACTCACCTTTCTTCAATTTTATAATGTCTTTAGCTCTTTTCTCACCTCCCACAATAAGGCAATGTGATAAAGGAATGTTCATTAGAAGTTTCTTCAATACATCAGATGTTTGTAATGCTAGTTCTCTTGTAGGTGATAAAATTATACATCCAGTACCTGGTCATGGAAAGTGGTATTTGTTAATCTTAAATTGAATTAGTCTACAATTTAACTGAACTTTTCAAAGATTTCTCATTCCTTAGAGACAATAGTATTTACAGAGGTGCATACCATATATAGGGTTACAGGGTAAGTTGACCTAAATCCTTCAAGAAGAGATAGTATCTATTATTCCTGACCGATTTGACTAAGGAACCTACTAAGGAAACTACTAAGGAAGGAAAGGAAGTGAATTACTTCTATAAAAATACAAGATTTTCATCGATTGCACCCTTTTTTGTGTCTCAATTTTGTTCTGTTTTTGCTGTTTGTGTAGAAGATTAGTTGCTTTATTATTTGCAACCATAAAACTGCAGGTGACTATACCAACAGTGGTGTAGTAGACGAAAAAATTAACATGAATAAATTTGTGATAAGGTTTTGTTTTATTATTAAGATATTTAAAAAAAAAGTATATTTTTAATAGCAGCGAGACAGTCGCTGCGTCGCGGGCCGCGGAATGGTGCTCATGAATATGAGCCTCTAGCATGGCTTGAAACTAGTCGAGTTTCTTTCCTCAAATAATTTCGCGAGTAAGCCAAAAAACATAATATTTACAATATTAATTGGTAATTCAAAATAAAAAGAATTCTTACCTCCCTTAGCAGACCATCCTAACTTGAGCAAATTATCAACAACTGGTATTAAGAATGCCAAGGTCTTTCCACTGCCTGTTTTAGCCGCACCAATAAGATCTTTCCCTTGAAGTAAATGTGGTAAAGCTTCAGCTTGAATACGTGTTGGTTTCTCCATACCCATAGAATTCAATGCTTTCAAGATTCTGCTGTCCACTTTTCCTTCTAACATGGAAAAAGAAGATCGTGACACTATTTCATCTACATCCATCTTTGATTCATTGTCAGACCTCTCGTATATATGATTAATGTAGAAATTTAATAAAAACTAATATTTATCACAGTTTTCTGTCACAAATTACAATTAAATTGTTGTATTAATGCTTTGTGGCATTGCCATCAGCCATGTGTATTTGTTTACTTTTTTAGAACGCAATGACAGTGACACTGACAGCAAGTTGACTTATGAAATGAACCATTGATTGAGTCGAAAGTCGACAGGAATCGATGAATACATTTCTATTTTTGGATTAATTTGAAAAAAAGAGGGAACGTAAGTATGGCAATACTGTACAACACAGTACAGTAGGTACAAAGATACTACAACAATTTATTTCATTAAGTAGCTAAACCAAACTAAAATAGCTCAAGGTTTTAGTTATAACGAGTCGAATTTAAAAATCGATTGCCAAATCGAATCGATAACAAGTTTAACGCTGTACGTCAGGTACTATACTATACTTGTCTATAATTCTACATTTAAGTACCTATAAAAAATTTAGGACAACATTCAATAATGCGCTTCTGCTTACAACTTTGTATTTGATGTTATTGTAGTATAAAAAAAATATAAGTACCCCAAAGTACCTACATTTTTTCCTGTAAGTTAAATACATTTGTGACATCAATTAATAAAAAATATGATCAATAAAACACAAGGTAATATTAAAACAATAATTTTATTGATCACTCACAATGTTTTGTTCACTTTATTTAAAATTTATTCTTTCTACTTGAACTAAAACAGCCTTGCATTTGAGGAATGTGAGAGAAAATAAAGTAGGTATGATGTTGTATATTTCAGTCTTTACATCAAAACACTGATGAATAATTGTTCCAAATAATTGCCACTTCCACTTAAACAAAAATAAATTTACTACTTGATACTCGTCTACTTTATCATGATATATATTAATTTAATTGATTTCCAGTACATTTATGTTTACTATATATACTCATGTCTATTCGGAGTGTGATTTGAGACTTGTCCTTAAAGAAACATGATAATGGATGACTGATTTATATTTGTAACTTAGTGTTAAACACATCACATACAAGTGCGAAAATTTAAACACTAAAATTATTAAAGTTCATCGTGTGATGAATGCTGTGCAGAAGGACTGGACTCATCACAGGCTGCAGGTGTGCTAAACTCCATCTTGTACTCACAACGGAAAGGTTCTGTGACAGATAAGAGTTTTGTTTCCAAGCCACAACTGATATGTACTGTTGTCATTCGGCTAGGCCCATTCCAGCAGGATACACCATTTGTATATTTCATAATAGCATATTTATTTTGATCTCCACCAGCCCATTCTCCCCAGTTTCCAAGACCAACTTCTGCACCACCATTCTTGGATTTTTGTGTTACTTTCTGGAAAACACACAATTTGTACACATACTCCTTATCCTCATATTCCGAACATTCGCCATCCAGTGTGGCAAACTCTTGTTGCAAGCCATAATCTTTCTCCAGATTTTGTTGAATTTTCCTAATATTAGCTTCTATTTCCCTAACTGTGCGTTCAGCATCTGTGTGTTGTTGACGCGCTTCAGTGGCCTCATCAACTAACTTTTGAGTTTCCTCATCATAAACATTTCCATGCTCTGCTTCAGCTTCTTGTTCATGTTCTTCAGTATCATCCTGAGGAAGGTCCAAATCACTGGCTTCATCATCCTGCCCAGTATATTCAGTATCAAGATCACCAGCAGCCTCATCAGCATCCTCTTGTTCTAATTCCTCATGTTCCTCAACTGGCTTGAACAATCCATCTTTGACCATCAACAAAGGTTTCAACAATGACCAAGTTGTAGTTACAAATGTTTCCTTGTCTACACTCTCGTTTTCTCCAAAGAAGTAGGTAAGTTCTTCTGATGCAAGGTTACCATCATGGTCTTTGTCAAAGACTTGGGCTGCAATTATTTCATCCATAGTCAACACTTCATCATGATTGGTGTCATATTTGTTGAAGTGTTCTAATGCTTCTTTAATAGCCTTTTGCTTCTCTTCCTCTGCTTTCCTTTGTTTTTCCTGCTCTTCAGCTTCTCTGTAAACTTTTAGTGCTTCATTCTCTTTAGCCTCCAGCATATTTTTAAGGTTTTCTTTTTCATCCTTTAACTGTACAGCCTCAGCTTTGTCTTTTTCTAATTGTTGCAACTGTTCTGCCATTTCATTTCGCTTAGCATTTCCTTTTTCTATAAGCTCTAATCTTAGATGACTACCTGCTTTGTACAACTCGGCCATGCGTTGAGCTTCAGCTCTTGCCTCTCGGCCTAGTTCTTCGCAAGAGTTCACACATGTTTCGCCAGATGCATACTCGTCGGTACCGTCACAACAGTCGCAAACACCATCGTTAACTCTAGAACTTGGTATGTTTAGCGGTCGATGACCGGCGTTTGTACAATGGAAGAAGCCATTCAGACAAGCTGAGGTGCCAGGCTCATCACTGCCATCAAAACAATCGCAGTAGTCATCGTTTACATAGCTGAAAGGTATAGTAATTGTTCCGTCGAAACAGGTGAAATCTTTTGTCGGCGAATATAGCGGTGCTTTCGAAAGGGAAACACCGCGGGGTCTCGGCACATCAGACTGCACGTAAGTGATAAAAGAACCAACTATAAAAAATACTGAATAAAACTGATTGATCCATGTAGGATAGATCATGATTAATTTAAAATTACACTTTTATTGCTAAACACCGGTCACTCACTAAAGTAAAATTGCAATAGATAAATAGAGAACGTGTAGAAGAATGACATGACAGCGCTGACGTTAGCCGACCAATCAAAATTCGCCACAGCCTGCCATAAACAATAAAAGTGAAAGATAAAAAATGTTGTAAAACGGCTAAGATTTTTGAGAAAATCAATATAATTAGGATAAAATACCAACTTACCCTTTTTCAGTTCAGATTAGAATGTATAACCTTACATGATTTCTTGGTTCTCATAATAATATAATTTCTAATAAGAAAAAAATTGAAGCCCATTCATTGAAACCTTTATTTTCATTGAGGTTAAGATATTAAAATGAAGCCCATGCTACCTATAAATAACTTTATAGACAGCTTTAGGTTCCTATCTGTATTCCTTAACCTTTTGAATAACTTTTTTTTTATCAAGTAAGAGGCTAACGATCAGACGGATCAGTAACCGATTAGCACTCATGGACACAGATTACTATATACCAGTCAGAGACTCATGGACACCTGCAACACAAGGAGTCACAGGTGCGTTGCCGGCTTTCTAAAAAGGAATACGGGTTTTCTCATTTTTCAACACATTAATATCTCTATTTAGGTCAACGGTTGTGAATAGATTTAGGTCATTATTTATGGTTTTAGATTTTATCTATGTAGTTTTCAAATGTCAATTATCATATGTCAATGATTGTGAACGTCAAATACGTCAAACAAAAACGCTTGGCAAAGTTTGGTTACTGTTGGCTTCTGTTTTTGTGGTTATAATTTTCAATAATAGAATCTATTACTTACAAAAATTGCATATTTATTGTGTTTGTTACATAGACCGAACGTATGGTGAAGATATTGCTAATTTATTTTAAACAATAATAGTTTAGCAACATGGAAACTATACTCGAACAGCAAAGAAGTTACCATGAAGAGAGGGAACGGACGATGGACGCAATGGTCAAAGAAATTCTTCATAAAAAGACTGGGGTGAGTCAATAATTTCTAATTATACTATACACATTTTATATTATACTAACTTATTGTAAAAATATGTTTCACAAAATAACCTTTGTAATTGTCTGGCTTTTAGATAGCTGTTTTCATTAGTGAATAAAAATAATGTATTTCTTGTTTTCAGCACCGTGAAACTATAAATGCTGACCATCGATTGAAGAATCTGCATGACGTAAGTACTGGACATGTATTGCTTTACTTTTAATCTCAAAAAAAATATAATAGCATTTTCTATGACAAAAAAAGGAATAGCACTCAAAAGACTTAATGTTCTTATTACAGAGATATGTTGAGTCAACTATAAGGCTGAAGGAGTTGTATGAGGATAAAGATGGTCTTCGTAAAGAGGAAATAGCAGCATTGTCTGGTCCCAGCGAATTTAATGAGTTCTATGCGAGACTTAAGCAAATCAAAGAGTTTCACAGAAAACATCCTAATGAGGTAATTATGTTTAGTTTTAAACTAATAAGTTTAAATGTAAAGAATTTTATTTATGATTTCAAACACCAATAACATAATCACATTACTTTGGTTTACTTTTATGAATAAAATCAATGTTTTATATTTGAATTTCAGATTTGTGTGCCAATGTCAGTGGAGTTTGAAGAGCTGGCAAAATTGCGAGAGAATCCAGCTGAAGATTTTACAAGTGAGTTGTTTACTGAGCATAGTGCTGTTTAAATGTAACAAATACATAGTAATATTTGAAATAAGTCTCTTGTTAGGAATGTGTATAATAAAAAGTTACAAGCTGTATTTCTGTCATTTCAGCTCCTGTGGAGTTTACCGATGAAGAAGGCTATGGAAAATATTTAGATTTGCATGAATGCTACGAGAAGTATATCAATTTGAAAGGCATAGAAGTAAGTTTTTATACACAGAAAGATTTTAGATTATAATAACTTTTGAACCGGTTATTAATCATGTTTTTTCTTTTACAGAAAGTGGATTACATCACATACTTGAGCATCTTTGATCATCTCTTCGATATTCCCCGTGAGCGTAAGAACAGTGAATACAGAAATTATATCAGAGTTCTTTTAACTTACTTGAAAGACTTTGTGAATAGAGTAAAACCTCTGCAGGACCAAGCTCAGGAGATGGCAGCTGCTCACCAAGAGTTCACTAAGCAATGGGAAGCTGGAACCTTTCCTGGATGGCCTGTAAGATATATTTCTGAAATCCTAATGTATAAACCTACATATTTATTAGTGTCACACGAAATTCCATTTTCTTTCATCACATATTCGGACTAGATATTGTTCAGTTATTTTATTCATGTTTTTATTTTTGAATAACTTAATTTTTTTCGTAACAGAAAGAAACTGGTGGTGCCCTGACGAATGTGGGAGCTCATTTAGATCTATCAGCTTTCTCCTCATGGGAAGAACTGGCCTCACTTGGTTTGGATAGATTAAAGTCTGCACTCATGGCTCTCGGGTTGAAATGCGGTGGTACTTTAGAAGAGAGGGCACAAAGGTATGTAATAGCCTACCTTGAATTGAGTTTTAATATTTTATTTTAGAATTTACTCAATTAATTTCTTTGTTTTAGATTGTTCAGTACAAAAGGCCAGACTTCATTGGATAAGTCTCTAGTTGCTAAGAAAGGTGGCAACAAAGCAAAAGCATCAACCCAACAAAGGCACAAAGATATTGCTGCTATTGAAGCTCAAGTTTACAGGTATTTGTTTTAACAATATCTTGTATATTTCTGAGTTATCCAATCCAATTTCCAAATTCTCAGTAAAAGCTCAGTCAAGAAACATGATAAATCTACACCCTCTATTATAACAGAGTCAAATATGATAAAAACTGCACTCTCTATAACAGCGTTTAGTGTGTGCTCTTTTTGTGGAATAAAACTTGTTGTTCATAT